ATTGGCAAAAGGACAGGGAATTATTACATCAATGTAACAGACAGTCCACAGATTGACTCACACTTATAAAATCAAATGATTTTTTGAAACAAAAAACTCAAGGCAGATAAAGAGGAAAATGTTTTTTGAAAAATATTGAAACAATTAGACATAAAGGAGAGAGGAAAGCTTCAATTTCTACATCATACCATAGTAAAAATTTAATTTAAAATGAAGCATAGCAAGAAATGCAAGAACTAAACTTATAAAACTCATACAGGAGAAAATACAGGAATATGTCTTTTCAACTTTGAAATAGGATTTTATTAGGACACAGAAAATACCTATAATCATAAGAAAAATTAACATTCTTAATTAAGTCCATTATTAAAACATTTAAAAAGTTAGATGGCACAAGGTGAGTATTATGAAACACATTGTTAATTTTGGCACTCAGAAGGCTGAGGTCAAAGTATTTTAATGAATTTGAAGTCATCCTAGGATACATGACAAGCCCTGTCACACACAAAAATGAATAAATAAAAGCAGGCAAGCACCAAATTAAGAGACAATATATCTGGATAAATAGCTCATATTTAGGATATAAAGAACTGTTACAAGCCTAAAAAAAAAAAAGATTGAATTTTAAAATTAAGCAAAAATCTTACACAGTTATATCCCAAATGACTAATAAGAATATGAAAAGTTGGGACTGAAGAAAAGGCTCAGTGTACTATTCTTGCAGAGGATCCGAGTTCAGTTTGTAGCACCATATCAAGCATTTAAAACTACCAAGAAGAAAGAACACTTGTTCTTGTAGAGAACCCAAGTTCAGTTGACAGAATCCCAACCATCTGTAACTCCAGTTCCAGGGGATCCAAATGGACTCTTCTGACCTCAGTGGACACACATGGAACACATACATATATGCAGATAAAACACTCACACACATAAAAAGATGTAAAGAAACATAAAAATAAAATTTTAAGCCAGGCACTGCCCTTAACCCCAGCACGCAGCACTTCTGTATGAGCTGCCTTGGTTATGGCATCTTTTCACAGCACTACAACAGTGTTTAAGAGACAAGACAAAATAACACAATGAGCTGCAAAAACATTTATGATATGCTATCAGGACTTATTGTTAAATGTTCATTGTTTTTAACAAGCAATGACTTGAACAGGATGAGTATACCCCCATAGAAATGTTTGACTTTGTCCATTTAATTGAACAGAGTGTACAGTAATATGTTGTTGAGGCAATTTTATATGAATAAACAGTATGCAAGACCGAGGTTTAAAAAGTCTCTAGTCTATTAAGTTTCCTATCAATTGCTCTTTTAAAAACTCCCAAGTAAACACAGATAGTGTAAGGGAAGCTTGAGTCTGTAGGTCATTTGGATCTCTAATGTGCTGCTTTAAAAAAAAAAAAATTAAATAACCAAGCTACAGTGATGCGCTTAAGCCAGCCTGAGCTATACAGTGAGGTCTAGTACAGCCTGGGCTACAATCTAAGATTCTGGGTAAAAAGAGAAGCCCAACAACAATAAAATAATGACTACACTTTCAGAGAGCACCCAGAGTAGTCAAAGGATAGAGACAAAGTAAAACAGTTGCTGCTAGAAGCTGCAGTAGTAGATGTGAAGTTACTGTTTAACAGGTAGAGCTGCAGTGTGGGATTGGGAAAATGCTCTGGAAATGGGCAGTGTAACAGTTCCACAACAACAGGAAACTGCTTTCCTTTGTGTAGCCCTGGCTGTCCTCTAACTAGCTCTGTAGACCAGGATGGCCTTGAACTCAGAGACCCACCTGCTCCTGCCTCCCTAGCCGTCATTGCTCCTTGAAGTGAACAGATTTAACACCACTGAAAGTTAATTATTTAATGCTTAAAATGGCAAAAGTTGTATGAAGATTTTAACACACGAGAAAAAGAAAAAAAGTGCTAGTTTTACCACACGGCAGCACAGGAAGGTGGTAAAAATAAAAGAATTAGGCTACCTAGTTGTAAATCTCTGTGTTTACTTCATAGCTGTGTAGTCTTTGGGAAAGAAACTTACTATCTCTGCTTGTTTTCTCAAATAACAGACCTCCATAGAGGCATGGTGAGGAATAAACAATTCAATACTATAAAGTGATGAAAATAGTACATATTATATAGTAACTATTTGTTATTATAATTTTTAAACATCTTTTGAGTCAGAGCTTCAGTATATAGCTTAGTCTAGCCTTTCTCCTCCTGCCTTAGCGTCTCGTGTGCTCTGATTACAATGGTGTCACCACTCCTGATTTCAAACATTACAAATTAGACTATGGGTTTTGTGGTGGTAGGTATCAAATCAAAGTCCCTACCATGTTTGGTAACTGCTCTCAAATTGAGCTGTATATCCAAACTGTTTAATGAACTTTAGGTCAAGTGTCTAAAGATCCTTAAAAGCTCTTCATCAAAATTAAAATTTTAAATTATTCTTTTTGTTTTGAGGTAGTCTCATGATGTAAGCAGTTCTTAAACTCAGTATTCTCCTACCTGGACCCTTCAAGGCTCATGCTATCAATCTTAGCTCCTCAAAAAGCTGGGTGGTGGTGGCACAGGCCTTTAATCCTAGCACTTGGGAGGCAGAGACAGGTGGATCTCTGTGCGTTCAAGGCCACCTTGGTCTAGAGTTCCAGGACAGGCTCCAAAACTGTCTCAAAACAAAATCTTAAGATCAGTAAGAATAACATGGAAATCAGTAATGTATTCCAAGCTCCTCATTTTACAGGTAAAGAAATTAAGAACTCAATAGTTAGTCTGAGGTTACATATCTTACTCCATTAATATTACTTTTCTTAAAGAAATAGTTGGGGATAATACCAATGTAGACATTCACAACTTCAGAACCAAAGCAAATGTGGCATCCCAGAATCGGTTGCCCTTGTTTCTTTCTAGTCCACTAAGGATTTATTTGAAGAGAGCCAAAACTCAGCAAGACCGAAACAAAAAACAACAAAATTATCCTCAAAGATAATGGTTAAAAAAAAAGATCTGGCCAGAAAACAAGGTGTTAAAAGTTGTGTAAACATTCTCAAAAGATGCCTGTCACTCCACTACTGTCAGCCAAACACTAACTGAATAATCTCAGTGAGACCTGAAGAGTCTGTCTGTGTGGAATACTAAATAGAGCTAATACTCATCACAAAGGAATGACCACATATAGTTCCTCACTAAAATCAAACAGAAGTGAGCAGCAATCCAAACACCACAAAACGCCTAGTGCAAAAAAAGCAAAACAAACAAACAAACAAAAAAAACCAAAAACAAAAACAAATGCAAGAAAGGTTTTTAAAGGGTGTCCTTATTTTGCTACTTCTCCAATGTTCTTCTTAGAGAATTTGGATTTGGGGGAGGGGGGAGCTGGTTTGTTGACCTGGACTGCACTGCAATCCTCCAGCCTCAGCCTCCTGTGTGCAGAGACTACAGGCATGACCCACCATGTCTGGTTCCTGAATCCAGCTCTAAAAAGATAATCACCACCTACACGTGGTATGTCTTCCTCTACAAGTCTACATTGTTGAAATCCCACCAGTCCTGTTGAAATAATCAAAATACATGATGTACATGTATGAAAATATGAAACTATTATGTAAAATTAATGTGTTAATAAAATATTATTTTTAAAGAAAATATCCAACCTTTTAAAAGACTCCAACGATACATTGGCAGCTTCCACAGTTTCACCCCACCACTGACCTCAATGTAGAATTCACCTTTTCTTCACTGCCTTATGCTATGCCTCTATAATGCACTATTACCAATATTCACTTCTGACCCACCCCCTCACAAGATCGACAGCCGATACCCCACCCTCAGCAGTAGGAAAAGGAATTAGTAGTATTGAGCCTCTCACAGATGGGTAAGGGGCTACCAATTTTGCATTATCGCATTCAACCTTCTTGATAACAGGCTGAAAGGTAAACAGGCGGTGTGTGGCTGTTTACCTGTAGGGAACTACTGCAGAGTTAATGGCTTGCTTATCCACTATCACGTTGCTAGCCCATTATTCTGTATGGACTGTTAGTTTATTCTGCTTCAATGCGCCTTTTCTGCCACTCAGTGTTGTGGGGGTGTTCGTTTTGCGTCTCCACTGTACCTGAGAAGGTTTCCACACTGTTTGCTGACTTCAATATTCTAACGAACACAAAGTCACCCTTTAGTAACTGAATCACGCTAGCCCGCTACCTTTAAGGAGGACTTTACCCACTTGGGCGGCTCTCCACTTCTCCATGAGAAATGCTGCAGGCAGTATCCACCCCGAACTGCTCTTCCCACAGAATGTATGAAATGCAACACACAGGAAACATGCAACTCTTGTATCATTTTCCAAAGCTCTTATTTCATACTAAGGCACATCTGAATAGGAAAAGGGTATCAGCATCTTAAAACGAAGGCATCCTTCCGACACTATTAGGCAGCCTCCTCCCTTTCTGTCGTCCTCCACTGAACTGCAGTTTGGATTTCCGGCGGGAATGTACGCGGAAAGATGAGATGAGGCTAAAAAGCACTAGAGCAATTACTTTGCTTAATTAGAAGACACAGAAGGCACCCCGCCTTTCGACGTCTCTGCATTGAACTAATTTATGAAGGCGGGCAGGGCATAAAAGCTAGAACAAACCCGCGTCGAGCGGTGTCTGCGGCTACCGAGAGCCAGTCCCTTTCAACCCGCGAGCAGTCCCCGGCCACCAGAGCCCAGTGCGGAGTAGAAGGCCCGCCGCACCTACCCAGGCGCCCACTGGCCCTATTGTCTGCACGATGCCGCCCCGAGTGGGGGGCAACCTAGGCCCCGCCGACCCCTACCCACCGCAGGCCGTCAGGCTGGGCACAGCCCCAACGCCAAGAGCTCGGCAGCGACCCCGCCCCGGGCTGCAGTCAATCGCTCTCGCTCGGAGGGCCACGCCGGGAACCAGGAAAATGGAGGTGGCAGCGCCTCCCGGAGACCTGGATCCTTCCTTTCCCCGACCTCGAGGGCCAGGCGGTGGAGCACTCACCGTGGCAGCCCCTCGGCCCTCCGGGAGCCCCGAGCGAGGCAGCAGCTGCTAGCGTACCCCCGCCGCGCCGCCGCCGCCTCTCCAAGCGCGCCGCTCCTCTCCCGAACGCTGAGCGCGCCCTCAGCTACCGCGGCGCGCGCTCCGTGACTGACTGACCGACCC